TGATTTGTGACAAGCGTGCTACTAGGGTATGTTCTCAGTTTTGCACAATGACCGTAACAGGATGCACAGGGCCAAATCACGTGGTGGTTGCGTCTTGATTGCGGTTTCCAAACGACTGAATTTCTGCCTCGATCCTGCTCCGGTCAGTACTTCTCATGAGCAGTTATGGGTGAAGATTACGACATCACACAATCGACGTTATGTACCTTCATCCTGACCGAAAATCTAATTTGAGCTCCGTTGAGAACCATACCAGCTGTATTGTCCCGATTACATCACAACGATCTAGTTCTGCTATTTGGCAACTACAACCAGTCTGGGTTTGTTTGGAATATTTTCCCGAACCAACCATTGACATTCTTCAGTCGTACATTCCTGCTCCCTGCTGGGCTTTTTTGGATGGTTTCAGCCTGCATTGTTTAATGCAAATTAATTCTGTAGCAAACAGAAACTCTTGGCTGCTTGATCTTGTGCTGGTGAACGATGTCGCCGCACTAGAGTGCAGTATCGTCGAGGCATCCGAGCCTCTGATCACATAACATATGTGGAACTCGATCATCCAAAATCGACCCCATTTCAGAGATTTCAAGTGGTATAGAAAGACATCGATCTGTCAAATTGATTATACCAGCTGTTAAATGAGAAAGGGAATCAAGGGGGTAGTCAATTCTATTAAAACAATAATAGAGTGGTTTATAATTCTATAACTTCGCAGCACTTCTGAACTTATGTCTTTGTTTATCGTTAGCTATTTACGTCCTTTATTTATATCTATATAGCTGGATTTAACAAATCACCTTGCTTCACACAGCTAAAAATATATAATTTTTTGCATTTAAAAAAGTAGACATTTTTCGCCGATATTTTATGCAAAGGCCTGCCACCAACGGTAATCTTAAAATGTCATTGTAAGCTAACTGTGTACAGCCCAATTGTGAAAGTGATACGTATTGTTTTCTGTAGTTATGGCAGAAAAGTGGGGAAACTCCTCGCGAATACTTGTTTAATTCTTCTAATTCTAAATTTGTGCAGATATGTTTTTCAATTTTATTTTTGTAAACTTAGAAGAAGAATGTATGTACCATTTTTTCTTTAAACTTTTTCCAATTGTTTGAAACCCATTGCACCAATCTTTGATTTCATTTGGATTTGTTGGAGGAAAAATACGGCCGCGCAAATAAGGAGTTTACAGCACACATTTTGAAGTCCAGAGCCCCGAGTAGCACACTTTCATCACAATAAGTTACAGCAACTTGTTTATGACTTAAATAAGTCGTATATAAGTTTCTACAATTGATTTGTGACAAGCGTGCTACTAGGGGAAGCAGCAAAATTTTGCAACAGTGATCCAGTTTAGGCGGAAAATATGCAGGTTTTTTGAGGTGACCATCGTTCCATTCGCAAGAATTTCGCAAGCAGGACGATAAATCAAATCAAGCGCTTCGATACCTGTAATACCCAATGATTCAACCCTCCATATGTTTCTCAACTGTGGCCAATTGAATTTTTTTGCTAAAATCCCAACACAAAGATCTATTCCAATTACTTTGTACTCAAAAACGTGGAAAGATTGATCTAAAAAGCAAATTAGGGGCTATACAGGATCCTCATAAACTTTGTTCGACCACTATGGCTAAGGTCACTGGCTGGGACTCCCAGCTAGCTTACTCAAAGTTACCAGGAACAGCTATTTTTTCAACATAAGCACTATTTACAAACGAAAGTAATCGTTTAGATCTATTTTACGTAGGGTAAGTGAATCAGTTTTGACATAGTGGTATAGTTTTTGACTCCAGGGCTTAATCAAATGTTATGGTTTTATTTGCGTAGATTTATGACAAAGGATATGTTCAAATATTGTATCGAAAAAAAATTGAAAATAATGTAAATAGGGAAAATTTAAAATAGGGCCAATTCGAGGACCAATGGGGCCTGAAACTGGCATACTTACCTTAGTTTTATTTATAGCTTTTTTAGAAAAAAAATCAAGTTTTTATTAAAGGTAATCGTTAATATCCATCAACAGAATAGTTCGTGCTGAAATCATAACATTCATAAATAGACTTACTAAAAACACAGTGAACAATATTACTGGTTAATAACGCTCTTGATTGGCTTCCGACAGATTTGAAAATACTAGTTAAAAATCCTTTGATAAGTCCCCTGTAGAGCTAGTCGAAAAAAGAATGGCCGCATTACCTTTTCGGCCACTCTGTAACTCTTTACTCCTATAGTAAATCCCCGTCAGCAATCGTCTGTCTGTGCATGCAACATGGTGGAAATTTCCTTGCCCTTTCACTCCTATGATAATTTCATAAGATCCTGTCAAGCTTTGCGTGAAGAGACGGTGCCTCACTGATACCATGGTGGAGTGAAGAGACAAGACAAAGTTCACTATAGATATCATGCACAGATTGTCAGATGCTTTTGGGATTTCACCATCGGAGTAAAGAGTCGTCAACGTCAATGCTTACTGAGTATGCAACCATAGCATTTCATAAGAGCCAATGTTGCAAACGTAAACAATGACTTTTTCCGTGAATTTCTCGAGAATGGAAAACCACTCAAGTAAACCACCACGATGATTATGTAGAAAGAGAGTTCCCATATCCGATAAAATTGGTGGCATACATGGATTGACTTTGAGCTACGAGAAATTTACGGAAGAAGTCATTGTTTAAGTTTTCGACATTGGTCCTTGTGAACGCTCAGTGTCGATACCATGAACATTTTGTTTTGACAGATCGATGGCCAACTATACCAGTTATACCACTGAGGCAACACAAAAAAGGGGTCAACTTTTAGTCAGTTATTTTGCATAAAAATCCACATATGTTATGTGCTCTGATGCATCTAGACGCCAAACATCCAGAGTTGGAAGCATTCATCAATCGATCAGCTCCTGTTCTCTGGCATCGTTGATGTACCAAGCCTGGACTTTCGTAGAACTGACTTCGTTGCAGTGTGTCACTCACTGGCACAGGTAGATAGGCAGCCGCTTGACTTATGTTCGTCCATTGATGAAGCCGTTATCTACTTCGACGAACTTGTGAGCCGATTAATAATAATGGATTGTGTGCCTCTGAGGATACCTGCTCCAAAATCTGCATGGTCTCGATTAAAACACTTGAAGCGTGTGAGATCGAAGGCTATTGGCAAATACAGTCAGTCCCGTAATCCATTCACCAAGTGATTATTTTCGTTAGCAAGTAATGGCTATCAAATGTACAACCATGTTCTATACAAAAAATACTCAAGACGTATGCAGACAAATGTCCAGCGTAATTCTTAGTTATTCTGGACGTTTGTGAAGACAAAAAGAAAAGAGGATGAACTACCGGTTGTGATTCATCTAAGCGATAAAAAAAAGCCAACACTTCTTTAGAAATATGTAACCTCCTGCCAGATCATTTCAAGAGCGTTTTCAACGACTCAACGGCACCGTTAAGCCAAGTTGCTGAAGGGATCAGAGAAACTCCCAGTGACGCGTTCAGGTTTAATATTTTCACGGTCACATTGGACCTCGTCGACTCTGCTCTCAAGAAGCTGAAATTCTCGAAAGCTGTTAGTCTGACGGCATTCCATCGTCCATACTCAAAAGATGCTCAACAGAGCTTTCTTCTCCGCTTTCAAGGAAGAGTCCAGACAACCGAGCAGTATTCTAATATGGAGCGAGGCAATGAGCAGTACAAGGATTTAAGGCAGTAGATATCCGTGAAGTCTTTGGCAATTCTGAAGATAAACCCTATAATTCTGGAAGCTTTGTCGACGGCATACGAGATGTGCTGCATGAAAGAGAGTTGTGTATCCAGGATCACACCTAGAACCTTAATTTGGCTGACGCGCTCAATTTCAAAATACCTAACTAAACATACTTGAACATAATAGTCTCTTTATGTGGGCGAAAAAGAGATCACCGAGCATTTGGACGGGTTAACCTCCAAACGATTCAGAATACACCAATCAGCAAAAGCATTCAGCTGACGTTAAAGGAAGCAACAGTCTTCAATTGAGTGAATTCGAAGGAAGAGTTTAAGGTCATCTGCGTAGGATACTCGAGGTCCCTCAATTACCAGATTTACGCTGGAAGTAAATCAGGAAAATCTGCGGTCCTATGTGACTACCCTGGGGTATGCCGGACGTGGCAGCGAAAATACGGGACTGGTGATCACCAATGATAACAGTAAGATAGCGATCGGTGAGGTACGATTGAAACCATTGCAAAAGGCAGCCGTGGATATCAAGCCTGTCCAGTATTGCGATTGATAAGCGGTGATTTATCTAAGGCAGCAGATAAGTCAGTATAAATGACATCCGTCTGAATACGATCCGACATAGTATTAGAGATCTAGGAAGTGACGCACAGCAAGTTAGTGGCAGTGGAGCGACCAGCCATGAAACCATGGCTACGGCTTACAGTGAGCGAGTAACGGTTCCGTGTAAATAGTGTATAGAAAGCCTATGGACATTTTGCGGAATTAATTAAGATTCGATCCGAAACTGCTTTTCCATTCAACCCCATTAAATGTTACTGTCAAACAGTTCGGTCCCGTAAAACCAAAGCAATACCGAAATCAATGTATCGCTTTAATTGAAATACGAAACAAAAAGAACCCTTTCTGTCACCGCAGTCGTCACCGCCCCGACCGCGCGTTGCTCTGGCCGGTTACCAAACATTCCCATTTTAATCGGATAATTATTTGCCCCTGGAAGGACGACGCATTCATGTGAACCGGAATCAGATTAACATTTTTGCACCGGCAGCAGCTGAATAGAAGAGTTGGATTTTCACATTATCTCCGTTTGCCGCGTTACTGGTTAATGAATTCTGCAGGTGACAGTTTCCCATCCTGATCCCGTGTTTTCCGCACCGAATGAGACGGAACGGGGATTGGTTGAGTTTTGAGCGCGCTGCTCGCTGGTTTGGGTGATATTTTTCCGCTCGGTTTGTGTTTCGCTGACGACGCACACTTTTTGAATGGGGGCCACAGTGTCAGAAATGTATATCATACAACCGCAATCACATTCATTGCAATCCGGTGTAACTGAGTTGGAAATGTCCGTCATAGAAACGGCTGACACGTGATGGTTGTGAGAGTTGAATTAATGGAAGGGAATAATTAAGTTTGAATAAAAACAGCAGTATATTATAATGGAAGTTTCGTCAACATCCTGATAGACACATTATCGTTTACCTTAAGGTCTAAACATCGATGAAAGCAGTTCATGATTTAAGTCTATCGAAGTCAATCGCAGCGCACTAATACAATCAAGCGTCTGAAGCGTCTCCGGTCATTCTATTAAAACATAGATAATGATTACAAACTCAAGTAAATCCTATTCTATTACGATGGGGATGGCAACATCTATCCAAAGTTCTGGTTGGAATTGACTTCGATTTCACCACTGTTGATTTCGTCATCCTCGTGGTGGTTCGGCTGTTTCGAAGCTTTCGACTGGAACTGCAAACTGTGGCCATCCAGCTGCAGTGAAGATTGGTGCGGACCTGATGCATAAGCAGCTGCTTCGGCTGCATTCTTTTGTGCTTCCTGTGCCGAGTACGATGCCTTGTGAGCGGCTTCTTCCGTTGCCTCAAAGTCCACTCGAGCTGCCTTGAGCTGCTCTTCGATGGCTTCGACTTTCCCTTTGGCCGATCCAACCATTTGCGATTGCGAGGCATACTCGGCAGCAGCTTCAGCAGCGGCTTGCTGTGCATGCTCCGCTGCTACCTGAAATCAAGCAGTCAATATTAGAAGTCAGTTCACTTTTCCTTTCTAGACTCCCCAAATTCATTCATACCTGCGCATTGTTTAGTGCTGCCTGCAACACTTGCACATGGTTCAGTGCCTGCTGGGCAGATTGTTGGGCCGCTTTCGCTGACTTCTTCGCCTGATGCAGCTGCTGAATTTCACTTTCCAGTGCTTGATGGGCATCCAGGTTTTGCTGCTCCAGCCCCTGGAGGAGAACGTGTTTTCCTGCCAAGGCAGCTTGAGCCGTTGCAGCGGCCTGAGAAGCTGCCTGAGCCAGTGTACTTTGAGCTACATATGCTGCCTGCTTGGCTGCCGCCACCTGATTCACTACGGCAGTATTGGCCTGATCTGCCGAACCCTGAGCGATGGAACGAAGACCACTGCCGGCACTGTAGCCACTTTTACTACCGTGGAGCGATCCGGCGTTGGCTGCATCGTATTCGTAGTCGTAGTCCCGCTTTCGTTCGGAGACTGACCGTGCGTGCAGTGCCTCTACCAGGGCGAGAGTGAGAGAGATTCCGGCTAGTTAGACGTTTGACGTTAGGGGACGGGGTTAGGGTTTTAGGATCTGGAAGATTGTATATTACCTATGCAGACCAGAAGCACCACCAGCGGAGAAACGCGGACTCGAAATTTCATGAGCTTCATCGTTGGCTGGGATGTGGCGTGGGCTATTTGCCGAGCTATCGGGAGGATGTCGTCTGTCTGTTTTTTGGAAAGATGGAAGTTGGTTTTAAGAAAATGTAGAAGCAGAATTTAGCACATCTGAATCGCCTAGTTTCCCGAATTTTGCACACCAATTGTTTAGGGTGAATGTTTGTTCACCACAAAATGTATAGATATGAACTCAATGTTTTAGCAGCCAGTCTGCATTGTGGTGTTTGTGTTCAGCCTTTCTAATACATATGAAACTCTACTAATACTCGACTGGTACAAGACACTGAAAAAATCTGCACATTGCAGACGAAATTCGCATATCTGTCAAGGATAAGCAAATAAGGTAGTGGAATTAAACGAAAATTACTAATCCTTCTCTCTCACTCTTTATATTTTTTTCATGAGGTAAATTTATTCATCGCTGAGTTCCTGCACTTTATGCGTTTTATGAGTTAAATAAACTGAAATCTGGGTCGTTCTCATTTGCCGTGTCATGTGCGTGTATGTACGTGTCGTGCTTATTTCAAGCTGAACATTGCATTAGGCAGCAAAAAAGGTTATCTTCCATTTAATTCCACTTAATTAATTTTGGTATCCATGACATATACGTATTTCGACTACAATGTGCAGTCTTCATCAGTGTCATTCCCACTAAAGAACTTATCAAAATCTAACCCCCTTAAGTACTCATCCCCTAGGTAAACCAGTCAAGATCATAGGTATAAAAATGAAACTAAGTACTTAAGTGGGTTAGATTTTGATAAGTTCTTTAGTGGGAATAACACTGATGAAGACTGCACATTGTAGTCGAAATACGTATCTGTCATGGATACCAAAATTAATTAAGTGGAATTAAATGGAAGATAACCTTTTTTGCTGTTTTATTAAGCATTCCGCTAACAACCCAATTTCATTACTTCATTGCATTAGGTCCTAAGTAACATGACAGATTCTCTTCGTCGACTTTCTCTTTGCATTCCCACGGCAATGTAAAGACATTCCCAGGTATTTTCAGCACACAGATCGATTAATGAAGCTTTTATCTAACATCTAATATAACAAACACATAAAAAAACGGTTATGCAAACGAAAGAGAAAGTCGACAAAGAGAATCTATCAATGTTAGTTAGGACATAATGCAATGTTCAGCTTGATTTGATCAAATTATGACGAAAGTAGCAATATATCGACAGTGAGCATGCATAAGGGCCTATACGCGATGATCGATTCTCTTCATCGATTTTCTCTTTGCATTGCTACAGCTAAGCGAAACAATTTTGTAGAATTTATTCAATGTAGAGTTGTAACAGGTTGCATTGGCTATCAAAAGCAACAGCAAACGCACCGACAAACGTTAAATCTAGCGAGTTATTAACAAAAGAGAAAATCGATGAAGAGAATCGATCATCGCGTATACGCCCTTATGAATGCTCACTGTCGATATGTGTTTGTATAGCTGTGGTTATCAAAAGAGAGAGTCGATGAAGAGAAACGATCAAACCAAACAGTTTGATAATGTTCAGCTCTCATTTTTACGTGATTGTGGCAAATTATTTCATAATGATTTTAATCAGAGTCTTCTGCGGTGGCTGTTGTTTTCTTAACAAACTAAACGAATCACTTTGTCCTCAAACAACTTCACAGTTTATTCAGCAACAGTTTGCATTTGCATATATACACCGATGTCATTATCAATTTCCGTTACGAAAGCATCTTTTGTTGATATATTAGTCAATGCTTACTGTTCCAATATAGATAACTAGCCACTATTTGAATTACACAAACCTTCTTCTCAGAAAAACAAAAAAGTTCAAAATCAGCTTCTCGCTACCCACTGCGACTTATCACAGGCACCCGCGAAAATTCACCAAACACCACGATTCAATTCCCCGTTTGCTTGTTCAATTCGATTCGACCACTCCGTTATCTCCGAAATCTGCGCGAATCATCCAATAAATCACACGACTGCGTGCCGCGACTAGGACCGATGTAAATGACGACCTGCCAGATCCCTGCGGCTCGTTTATATAGTGAAACGGTGATTTTTCTAGTTCGCGTGAAAGCGCGGGACAGCCCCGTTTTGGGGTGGTGGTGTAGCAAGATGAGTACCCTGCAGCTTCCGAATAGGAGTAGGAATAGCTACTACTGGCTGACTGGTGATGCACCCCCCGCCGACGGTGCATTTTGTGGTTTTTGGCTGCTGATTACGGTGATGATTGGCAAGTCGCAGCGGTGCGGTGTGGAGATTTTCGTTCATTCAACAAGAGCGTTTAGCCAAGGGGCCTATTAGCGAATGTGGGCACGTCTTGCACGGCGAGGTCACGTGGTTTCTTCCCCATAGTGCACATTTAAATGGCGGGCGGGCGGCGTAGGTCACTGTGTACTCTATCGGTGGGTCGAACTCGAAAACAAGCCGGCGGATTCAGGTGTGTAGTCAAGTTTATACGGAATTACATAAATCAGACGGTTTTCAAGTTTTGATCTCTTCAACTATCGCAAATTGAACCTGTTTTTATTTGTTTAACATCTGGATCAACGCTGTCAGACTTTGTCCAATGGTAATGTTTTTTTTTTTTGTTTAATTAGTTAGTTTTCTTTTCCTTCTTTGCATTTGTGGATCACGAGAACAAGCGTCTCTCGTTATAGGTTCCTAGGGTGGCAGATCTTACATCCCGTAACGTACCACGAAAAGATGTTCTACACGGTAAGAAAAAAGTACCCAACGGCCAGTTCACTTTTACCTACTTTTGACTAGTTTGTTTCATTTTCTCCTTCTAATGTTGTCAAAAAAGAAGGAGCAAAACCACCCAACAGGGGTAGTAAAGTGTGGGAACCCAACGTTGGGTATAATAATATTTACCTACTGTTGGGTACAACTAACTTACTTTTGGTTAAAAAGCTAGTGGAAAATTCCATACGAACTGCACACAAGTAAATGAAAATTACTTTGACCCGCTTTACCTACTTTTGGGTTCCTGTACTATAGTGCCGGGATGAGTGAAAAGAACTTAATGTTGGGTACTTTTTTCTAACCGTGTACCCTCGTTGCAGTGCAATTTAAGGGTAGTTCAAAATATCGATTTTGCTCCACCATGTTCAATAGACTGATGCAAAATTTGAAATTTTCGCTTCATAGTGTTCAAACGGTTCCAAATCGGGTCCTGATTAGCCTCCCAAAATTGATACTCATTTGGTAAGAAACTGACTTGGCGCAAACCACCTGAAGTTTATATGGAAATTACTACGGGGAAACCAAACTTTTTGTTCATTTTCATGTTGACTTTTTCCATATTGTACTGTTAAAAATTTCTATAGAAAATTAAGGAACTTTTGAGAACTCCAAAAACGTACAGAGATTTTTTTTAAAGAAGTATTGTGAGCATCAGACTGGTTCCTCAAACGACAAAAGAACTTCAAGACAGTTTAGTTAATTTCAGGGAAACTTTGAGAACTTTCAAATAGTTCTGAAGGCCTAAAAATAGCCCATGAGATTTTTCCTGACAATCCACTAGGAGTTCTCCTCAGCATTCACTTTGTATCCTCCCTTATTCTATAAATTTCAGAAATAGCCGAAATATTTTTGCAATACTTCTCTGATTTGCATGGAGATTTTCTGCAAAACGTTGAAAGTATCAATAAAATTTAATTTCTTTTAAATTATCCTCGAAATTCTTCTCATTAAGAAACCCTTTGCAATAATTCTCCAAATTTTCGTTGAATTCATTGCAGAAACCCTTTTGAAATTCACTCGTTCTTTAGTAATTCTACTCACATTGAAAGTTTCTTAAGAAGTAATTTTCAGTTCTCCCCACAAATTCTTTATATTTCTTCTCATAATAAGTTTGGAAAATTCTCGAGGAATTCTTTACCGAATTCAATTGAAGTTCTCCCCTGGACTTTGCCTTTGGGGTACCCTGGAGTTCTGCTCAGAACTATCATGGAATGCTGCTTAGAAATTTCAATGAGCTTTCGTTACTAACCGTTCGGTCACTAACCGAGTCTTGCAACTACTGGCAAGGCACAAAAAATAACAAGGTCCAAAATGCGTTCCTTTGCTTACTGAAAACTCCTGTTCAAGACTAGGGCCCGGTGAAAAATCCTACTCCAGTAACGAGGCACGAAAATTTTATCTACCAGCGTTGCAAAGGCAGCTTGAGATGTGTTTATGTAGAAGTCCAAATTATAGACGGTCCGGTTGACAAAGACCAACATGAACCAGTCCAGTTTGTGGTAGAGCTTGCTGCGCATTGTCTTCTAAAACTATGTTTATCCTGAATCCTGATGAATGTGGGCGTCTTAGTGGAATACCTGTATAATGAGAGAGAGAAGGATTAGTATTTTCCATTTAATTCCACTACTTTATTTGCTTATCCTTGACAGATACGCGTATTTCGTCTACAATGTGCAGACTTCTTCAGTGTCTTGTACTAATACTCGACAGTCGAGTATTAGTACAAGACACTGAAGAAGTCTGCACATTGTAGACGAAATACGCTTATCTGTCAAGGATAAGCAAATAAAGTAGTGGAATTAAATGGAAAATACTAATCCTTCTCTCTCTCATTATATGTTTATCCTTTTCGAGAAGCTTATCAATCTCGCGCGATTTGTAGCGCTGTTCGAGCTCCTTCGGTCTAACCCTCAGCAGGGCACTGAACAAAAAAGCTTTGCGCATGACATATAATCATCACCAGCAGCAGATCTGCATCATCATGATAAATAAAACACTGCTACTGGTGCCTCTGCTTCGGCCAGCAGCTTGGACTCTACTGGGAATTCATCTCACACTACTAGTGAGATTAATCTTATAGCGAATTCGTTTATTATTCAGTTCCAACCTGGATCGGGTATCAAGATTGGGCCTGCTTGTTTTCTGACAAACGTCAGATTGCTATTTTTTTTCAAACCTAGCTCAGGTTGGGGTTCTCACTGACAAAAATTTCGGTTTCGCACTCAAGGCAAATCAAAACAAAACACCTATTGAGCAGCCGCACCTCAAAACTCGAGCACTGATCTCACTTTCCACACGATTTCGAGCTGTTTCGTTCTCTCCCACAAGCAAAAGCTATTGTGTGTTTCGACACTCCGGGAATCTTCTTGTGCCTTTGGTATGCGATTGATCTTCAGCAAGCACACTAACACACCACTGGCTACAAAAAAAAACATACCCGTGCAAAGAAACGGATCCAATAATCGTCACTCTCGCGAAAAGGAACCCGTCGTCGTCGAACGGAAAAAAAAATCGGTAATCAATTGGGTGGTTTAGGGGTATTGCGGTAAATACATACTCGTTATCTGTATTAAAAGCCAGCGTCGGTGGTGTAGTGGTAAGCGTGACTGCTTTCTAACACCCCAATGGGTCTGGGTTCAATCCCAGCCGAGGTCGGTGGGATTTTTCTGAGGCATAAAAATCTCTGGCCACGTCTTCCTTCGGAAGGGAAGTAAAGCCATT